TTGCTTATCCGGGGGGTCCTGGCGGCCGCCCTGCAGCTGGGCCCTGCTCCAGCCCACGACAGCGCTTCACACTGCTGCGTGCGGAGCCTCTTCCAGGCACCAAGATGAAGCTAATCCAGCCGGTTTCACAACCAGATGATGCCCCCTGTCTTAAATTATTCCTTATTTTTGCAGCTCGGGTAATTTGGGGAGACGTGAAGATGCCTGCTTATGCCCAGAGCATGCATCCGTGGTGGAAACCTGCAATATTCACTGACTTCTTCTGTTTTCCAATTGCCTCTAGTAATTTTGAGTAAGTGAAATCAGAAGCAGAAGGGCTAAATTAGCATAGCAGTATTTGAATTAATAAGCTGTGTCTTTACTGCAGCAGTATTCTAGTTTGTTGATAACACAGGTTGGAGAAACAAGCTCTGCTAAACTCGGCTAATGACTCTGAGTAAAAGTAATTATTTGAGATCATGCAATATAACTGTTTTCCCAAGGTCTTGTGTTTTACCTCTTTTTAAATAATGTGAAACGTAGGCAATTGGGAATGTGGAAACTAGGAAAGGTCAAAGTTAACATTGCCCTTGCAAATTAAAATTGCCGTATTATCTCCCTCTTAGAATCTTAATTAAATCTTCAATTACATGTTTGCATACTGTGTCCTGCAGGATCATACCCTCTCTTAAGTGTATGTGTATGTGCAAGGACTACAAATGAAACAAAGGATTGTAGGAAGAGAAAGGATTGGATCTGAAATGGGATTCAAAGAGTTGGATTGTATTCTTAGCTGTACTAGGATTTAATTTTCTATGCTATTAGGCAAGGCAATACTGACAACTACAGTGTCCGCATTTTCCAGCTTTTCATTCTACTTAAGATGCAGGGTCTTTTTCTGTGTGTTTGCTTCTCTGGCAAGAGAAGGGCTTGAAAAGATATACTGCTTATTTTCTTAAGCATCAGCTTCATGATTTCATATACTAATAATTAATGGTAATAAACTGTGCAGCAACACAGGGCTGGTGTTAGAAAAGAATAATCTTGTGCCTGTAATGAGCAATGAGTGTGAGGTTAACAGAACAGGCATGCTTGTAATTAGTTCCCCTGTAAAAGTTGCTGGGGAAAGTAGCTGTTCCGTGCAGTGCTGTCAGTAGCAGTTTTTATGTGTTCAGTGAACAGGAATTTTAAACTTCTAGTGGAAGAATCCCAGGATAAGGAAAACCTTCTGTTATTTTAAATTGCAGCTTTCTGGGCTAGTTTCCTTGCTAATTGAAAGGAAGTAAAATGCCATGCAATTTAACCCATTGAAGTTTGTGGAGACTTCAGGGAGGCATTGAAAAATGATGGATTTATTACTTGCTACTAAAATTTCTATGTCTGCCTTTCAAGGATGGTAAGTATAGACAGTAATGTAAACTGAGGATGATGTTGTACAGAGAGCTCTTTATTTCAGTGTTACCTTATGTACTATTTCTGTTAGGTTTCAGAATACAAATGTTGACATTTTTCAGACTGCAAATACTGGATAAAATGACAAAATACATTGGCAATATGCTAGCATCTTTTTATTTTTTTTCCAACAAGCTTATTCTACATTACAATTCTGCAATTACAGGCATTATTTTCAAAGAGTTTTAGTTCAATACCTCCCATACTATTTTCCCAAGATCCTAGACTGGATTCCTCATGGTTATCCAGGTTGCTGTTGACTTCCCCTGGCCTCCAGAACAGCACAGAGATCTTTGCATGGTGCTTCTAGCAGGCAGGATTAAGGAAGTTTAGGTAGAGTTTTGTTACTGGGTTTAATTTATAACGTGGATTTCCAGAGACTACAATATAGGTAGAAACTCAAAATAAGCTTGAAAAAAAATGATTTGGTTCATTTCTAGCAATGGGAGTTTTATCATTTCCACAGGGTGGAGGAGAGGTAAAATTCTAAAGGAATTCCTTTTGAAAATAAAAACAATTCTTTTTGACAAACTTGAAAAAAAATGTTTGAATCAAACCACCTTTATCAACAGATGTATTTGTGTTTTGCATAAAAATTTTTGCATTGTGCTTTTGCATAAAAATTACACCCGCCATAGAAAGAGTAGTGAAGCATTGGAGTGGTGGAGCCACTGTCCCTGGCAGTGTTCAAGAAACAGGTAGATGAGGCACCTAGGGACATGGTTTAGCAGGCCTGGTGGTGATGGGTTTATGGTTGGTCTTGATCCTGAGGGTCTTTTCCAACTGTAATGATTCTGTGATCTCTAAAGTATTCCTTAACTGCCCCCCTGCCAAAAAAAAAAAAAAAAAATGGGTCCAGCCCGCTGGATGGAAGCTGAGGATACAAATCCAAAGGCGTATAGATTTATATGGGAATGTTGTCCTGTTAGGAGTCAACTTCTTTTGAAGGCAGTGCTGACCTTGATGACTGAAACAACATGTGGATGTGCTGCAAGAAATGTGCCCTTTAGCCTCTCACATTTCAGAAGGCCTTGGCAAAACTTCTTACCCAAGATGCTGAGAGTGAAGCATGAAGCCTTCTGTTTAATTTAGCTGGCAGAGGTTGACCATGACGTAGAGGAAAGGCAGATATTGGAGTCTGACTCCCTTTCTAAACTTCTCCAGGATTAGATTTCTGTTGCCATGAGGCATTTATGAGAAAAGTGATGCTGACTTCTGCCAAATGGTCATATGTTGGGTGTGGGGGGTTGACAAATAAAAGAACACTTCTTGGTGGGGAAAAGACATCACAAAGTGGTGTTCATAGCCCCAGGTGGTGAATACATGAGCCCCGGTGAGCACAACGAAGAAGGCTGCGTAGGTGTTGGCAACTCTGGCCACTGCAGGTGAAGTCAGTGTGGGAGAGAAGGAAAGAACAGGGGCCATACACAGAGCTCATGGTGGCTGTTTCAGGAGTGTGTCTTGAGTTTGAGACTCAGACTTTTTGAGTTAGTGGCAAGAATGCCTTGTGTAGCCTTGTGTGCTACATCCCCGTCCATTTTGGCAGTTTTTTGTCAATGGTGGGTTGTAGTTTATCATTTTGGCTGCTTTGTCGCTATCAGCACTGACTCACCTGGAAAAGTAGGCACTGTCCACATGTTCCCCAGATCCATCCATGCACACAGTTTAGCAGGGTTTACCAGCTGAAGACCCTAATTCTTTAGGGTGTTGCTGGGTGTTTCCCTGTGTCTCCCACCCAACTGCAATGAACTGGTTTATGAGGCTGTTTATGGGCAACCTCCATGAGCCCCAGGAGCCCTTCAGTTCCTGTGTGTGCAGCTGCAGTGTGTCTGCAGTTAGCCACTTGAGGGAAAGATGGGCAGCCCCTTGCGGTCAGAGCTGAGTTTGAACAACTGTGCAAACAGTTGTTTCACAACTTGTGAAAAAGATCTGCTGTGCTTCTGAAAGGCCAAGAAAGAGCAAATGTCTGTCAGAAAGGACCAAAATACCCGAGGGACGCCTGCTATGCAAGCATGGGCACCTTCAGCTGCTGCGGTTGTCTGTGAGAACGGGGAAGGTAGGCCACGAAGGAAGCCCATGCTTCATAAATAGGCTTTGGTAGTGCCGTGTAACTCGCACTTGCCTAGTTTTTGATTGGCACAATGTGTGTGGAGGGAAGCTAATGACACAGGTAATTTTTATGTGATCCCTGGCTTTGTGGGCTGCTGCACAAACCTGCTGCATAAAGTTACCCAAAGGTAAGGAGGCACCCAAAGAGGCACAGCAGAGAAGTCCACTATAACATGAAGCATCCCAAGGATGTTATAACAAACTCACATGAAGTGCAGTTTCATAGTTCTTGACATGTTAGAGGTCAGATGTGCAACTGTAACCACTAATGGATTGGGTTAAGCTTGCTCAATCTTGTGTGGAATAGACAGACTATTGCTTTATCTCTGTGGTCTCTGGAGATCAGTTCTTCACAGCTGGCAACAGAACAGCAGCCAGTAAGACCTGCACCGAAGTATATTGCATGGTTGAATGGGACAGGTGTTAAAAGTCCGTAACCATCTTCTGGGATGGGTCTGGGGCGTGGTGAAGACACCAGGCCTGGGCACTGCTGGAGGAAGGCAGAGGCAGGGCATCCTGGTGGTTAATGTTGGATTGCTTGCTCAGTTGAATGCCCAAGGTCTGGCTGTATTCCTAGAAGACAAGTGAAAACAGCTATGCTAGAAAAGGTCCCACGGAGTAAAAGTCTTCTCTGGACCAATGACAGTTTTCATCCTGGATCTGCCCGAAGACCATATAGGAGATGAGGAGTTCCTAGATACAGGTAGCTCTGGCTGTACTCAAAGGTTTGCTCTCCATTGCAGTGTATTCTTTGTCTATGGATTCTTCCCTTTCCTTAGTGGAGAAGAAATGACTTCAGTTATGCAAAAGGATCACAATCTGCACTGTATGTGAAATTACATCTCCATTCTTCCCTGGGAGATGATCCAGCTTGGAAGCTGCCTGGAGCCGGCATTGACATTCACAGTGGGAGGCTGCCTCCTGCCCTGCCCCCTGTTCCCTTAGCAGGACACTCGAGTGGTCCTGC